TTTCTCTCTCTGCCTTCCTTTCTCTAAAATAAATAAAAACATATTTTTAAAAAATAACATTCTGCCATTCATCTATTCCTCTGCCCATTCCTAATGCCCCGTAATTTGTTTTTATTTTTAATATACTCTTCATACGCTGAAATGCACTCTCCTTAGCTGTGCACTTTGACAAATAAATACATCTTTGTAATAACATATACCTCTATTAATAATGATAAAAGATATTTCTACTTTGCCAGAAAATTCCCACACATCCACCCATTCCCAGTCAATTTTGCTCACTCTGCCACTGTGTACTCCTACGAGGCAACCACCATTCTGATTTTTGTCACCTTACTTGAGTATGGATGGCAGAATAACGGTCCCCAAAGATGCCCAAGACCTTATCCCTAGAACCTGCAAATATGTTACTTTACATGGCAAAGGAGAATTAGGGTTACAGAAAGAAATAAGGTTGCTACTCAGCTGGTCTTAAAATAGGGAGATTATCTTGAACTATCTGAATGGGTTCACTGTAATCGTAAGGGTCCTTAAAAGATGAAGGGGAGGCAGAAGAGGAAGTCATTGTGATGCTATGCTGGCTTGAAGATGGAGGAAGGGGACCAAGAGCCAGGAAGGCAAATAGCCTCTGGAAGTTCAAAAAAGGCAAGGAAATGCATCCCAGCGAGACTCTACAAAAGAGAATGCAGTTTTGCCAGTATCTTGATGAGACCAAGATTTAGACTTCTGATCTACAGAACGGTAAGATAATAAATTTGTCTTGTTTAAGCCTCTGAGTTTTTGGTAGTTTGTTATGGCAGCAATAGAAAATACAATTAGTTTTACTTACTGTAGAACTCATAAAAATGGAATTATAGTCTTTTTTTCTTATTAAGCATCATGTCAGTAAAAATCTTGATGTTTTTAATATCTTGGAGTGAATGGACGAATAGTATGGTAAGTATAGGTTTAACTCTTTTTAAAGAAAACTGCCAATCTGTTTTCAAAAGTAACTATATCATTTGGCATTCACACTAACAATGTATTTGAGTTCAAGCTGCCAACATCTGTCAGTCTTTCATTTCAGTTGTTCTGATGGGGGTAAAGTATTATCTCATTGTGGTTTTAATTTGTATTTTTCTCATGACTAGTGATACTGAATATCTTCTTGTGTATTTTTGCCCATTTTAAAATGCAACATCAATGATCTTAAAATATAAAGTATCATAACTCTGGGAAAAATGGAAAATATAGAAGACAGATTAATCTAGTGAGCATCATTAAGAATTATTATAGGGACTGAAATACATTAGATCTATAATTATACTAATTTCTTTGGAGACATAACATACTTATGCAATTTAAACTTCCCATTTAGGAAAAGTTTCTCCATTGATTCAAGCTTTCTTTTCTCTCTCAGAAACACATGAGTCTCTTAACAGGTTTTTTTAATATATGTTTTAAAGTAATATGATGAGGACTGCTATAATAAAAAAAAATTGGGCCAAGACAAAGGACAGAATCAGAGGTTCTACAATTAGCACTGCACCCCTTAGTTAAAGCTCATTATTCATATAGGCGCTAATGCTTCCCCCTTAGTCTCTTGAGGCATACCCTCACATATACCTACCCAGGACTCACTATTAATTGTCTTACACTCAAATCTCAAAGGCAGCCCAGCTGGCTGGCTCCGCGGTTGAACACTGACCTATGACCCAGGAGATCCCAGTTCAATTCCTGGTCAGAGCACATGTCCAGGCTGTGGGCTCGATCCCCAGCAAGGGGCATGCAGGAGGCAGCCGATCAATGACTCTCTCATCATTGATGTTTCTATCTCTCTCTCCCTTTCCCTTCCTCTCTCTGAAACCAATAAAATATATTTAAAAAATAAATACATCTCAAAGGCAGTAGTACCAGTTTAATGTTCCTTTTCTGTTATTTCACAAGGGAAAAAATTTCCTTAGCAAGAATTACTAATTCCAAGGGAGAAAATCAATTAGTGTATATATAAAATAAAAGCTACTTTTATTTGCTGTACATCTTTTTTTTTAATTGATTATTTAGATCTCAAAGTGACATCAATAGTCACCAAATCCAAACTCTTCACTCCCTTTGGGAAAAATGAAGCACAAAAAGTTTGAGAGATTTGCTTTAAGTCACAGAGCTAGTTAATAGCAGAGCCAAGGTTAGTATTCAAGTCACTCAGACCAGTGGTTTTCAACTGCAGAAGCTCCCAGGGGATATTTGGCAATGACTGGGGACATTTTTGTCTCTCATACTGAGAGAGTGCAATAGAAGCCAGGGATGCTGCTAAATATTGTCCATTGTACAGGACAGCTCCTCACAACAAATAATTATCTGGTCCAAAATAACAGTGTTGAGGTTGAGAAACCCTGATTAGAGCTATACTTTGCCACACCTAAGTAATCAACACTTTATTTAATACAAACATTCTGAGAAAAATAGTGTCAAATAGGCTATTTCCTTTTAGTCAAACATTCAGGCAGATTTAAGGGTCCAGTGTATTTAATTTCTTGAGATGGAATATGATTTAAAAAAACTAAAAAAAAAACAACCACCAGCAAAAAACAAAAACATACTTACCAGGAGCCAAAACCCAAGGGTCTCCTATCATAATCTGGCAGATCTGGAGCAATCTTACAAGCTTGTATGTTCAGGTACTTAAATATGTGGATTTTGCCTTTTATACAGATCTAAATAAAGTAACACATACATGCAATCAAATTATTATTCATCTGAAATGTGTCCCTTTTTAAATCACAATCAGCTTTTTACTTAATGTATATTGGAAACAGGGCATTTCTATTAAGTACAAATACTAAAAATCGAATACTCGTTTTAACAACTATATTTTTGTTATTTTAGGTATTTTTTATATTTTTGTTATTTTAGGTATTTAAGTGACATGATTATAGATTTTATTTTCTAGACACTAGTAAGTTTCAGTAACATATAAAATAATTTATGATTATAAACAGAATATCAAGTAAACTTATCATTAGTTAGGCATAGTCAGGAATTTAAAGCATTGCTTCCACATGAATTATATTAGCAACTTTTGCTTTTAGGAATCCAACAATCATGTACAATTATTTTTCAATCCTACTTTCTGTCAAAGAGAAGAGCAGGAAATGTTTAAATATTAAAGCCACAGCCCAGCCAGGCGTGGCTCAGCGGTTGAGTGTTGGCCTAGGATCCAGGCGATCGGGGTCCAATTCCTGGTCAGGGCACATGCCCAGGTTGCGGGCTTGACCCCCAGTTGGGGGCTGATCAATGACTCTCTTATCATTGATGTTTCTATCTCTCTCTCTCCCTCTCCTTTCCTCTCTCTGAAATCAATAAAGATATATTAAAAAAAGAAAATAAATAAATAAATATTAAAGCCACAGATATTTCTGTTGCTACCTGCTGACCTCTATCCCAGAAGTCAAAACACAAATTCTTTAGGATTATGAGACCCTTCTATAGTTATGAAGTTTACTCATAAGTTTTATAGTTGCTATAGAGGCTTGTACCATCAGTTGATTGTAGAGGGAAAAAAGCTACATGCTGGTAAATATTTTCTAGACTGTACAATGTCTAGAATCTATATGTAACACTACCTATAATTACTTGACTATTAAATAGATTCATTTCAGTCACTGCTAAACAAATGACCAAACTAAATAAATGAGGAACTTAATATTTTAGAAAGTGGGAAGGTACAAAAACAATAGTCAGAAGAAACGCACTGATAATCTTTAATTTTGAAAGCTAAGTATTTTTATTTGTCTCCAGCATTTACATTGTCTACACTCAAGTTTTACCAGAAAAAAATCCTCCAATTTTATTAGAAAAAACATCAAGGAAGAATCCCACAATTTTTTTTAAAAAGTCAATTTAATGAATGGAAAAAACACTTCTGGAAACTGTACCTATCTTCCACCCTATTTAGTCCTGTACCTATCTTCCACCCTATTTAGTCAAGGCTTCTAAAGAATACATAAATGTGTGAATTTCTTTTAAAAGAACTTAATTTCCAACAAAAAGATAAATGCATGTAAGTTTAAAGTTTCATTCATTGCCAAAAAAGTTCATAACATACTTCAAATCAATGGCGGTTTACCTGTGCAGGAGGAGACTGTAATGGATTGTTATCTAAGGCAATCATCTGTAGGTGCCTGAGGTTCCGATAACAAACAGGGATTGTTGTAATTTTATTGCAGGAGAAGTCTAACCGTATCAAAGGCAACTCTGCTAGCTCTGCAAAGAGATAAAATGGAAATGAACAATTAATGGTTTTTCAAAACAAGACAATTTTGACAAGAACTTCTGGTTAAATATAGTGGATTTAACTTAAGTATGTACTTCCATTCTTCCTTAGTAATTATCTGATAAAGCAAAGTGGTATAAAATGAAATCTGGATGCTTACAGACAGGAATACTAATGAAAAGCAAGCTGTTTGACACTCACAGAACTACAGAAAGTTGGAGGCCTGATGCCACAGAAAGATGGGGATAACAAAGGGATCAGAAGACAGTCTGTGTAAAGAACAAATCGGAGACGCAGAGGTTCCCAAACCCAGCTCACACAGCTGGGGCACTACCCCTTTCCAATCACCCCAGGAGCCAGCAAGTTATTCTCCAGTGCATTTGAATTGAAAGGCTCTGAAACCAGGGACTCCAGGCAAAATAGAAAGTCTGGATGAGTTGCCAGTTAAAAATGGAAGATTTAGGTGAAAGTCTACAGTGTTAGGCAACACCTTAGCCCTTTTCTACCCAATTCCATCCCATCCCCAGCTCTTGAATGGGAGTAGTTAGGAATATAAATAATAATGTAGAAGAAATAAAACATCATTCTCTAGAGAACTATAGAGTCCCATATAAAAGGCCTTTAGATACTGATAGGGAGTTCCCTCTCCCAAAATATCCAGCCTGCTGCTTAATTACCATTTTACAATCCCTACTCAGTATGCTTCACACTTTTAATCAGCTCTATACTGACAGTTCATGATTCAGAGACATTTAGAAGAGCCTCCAACATACAAGACTAAAATCCAAACACACCAATTGAAAAGAGGAACTCAGAAGAAATAGTAATATACAGAAAACAGAAGAAAACTTTGAAAAACAGGAACTAATAATTCTAATTTCAGAGAGATAAGATACTGAATTTCTGAAACAAGAAAATGTGTGTTTTTTTAAAAAAATATCAAAGAATAACCTGGCTGGCATGGCTCAGCAGTTGAGCATCAACTTATGATCCAGGAGATAGAGGTTCGATTCCTGGTAAGGGCACATGCCCGGGTTGCAGGTTTGGTCCCAGTAGGGGGCATGTAGGAGGCAGCCGATCAATGACTCTCTCATCACTGATGTTTCTATCCCTCTCTCCCCCTATCCCTTCCTCTCTCTGAAATCAATAAAGACACATTTAAAAAAAAAAAATCACAGAATATCTGAGAAAATGAAAAATATGATGGCAGAAATTAAAAATTCAGAAGAATGGTTAGACTGTTTACCACCTTGAAAAACAAAATGACAAAGAAACGAACAACAAAAAAGATAAGAAAAACCATAGGATCAATTAAAGAGTCCCAATACCCAACTCATGAAAAAATCTAGAAAGGGAGAACAGAAAAACCAGAAGACAGGATATTATCAAAAAGAGATATAAGGTGCCCTGAGCAGTGCAGCTTAGTTGAGAATCTTCCCATGCACCAGAGGGTCGCTGTTTCAATTCCTGGCCAGGACACATGGCTGGGTTGCGGACTTGATCCCCAGTAGGGGGTGTCCAGGAGGCAGGTGATTGATGTTTCTCTCCCCCTCTCTCCCTCTTTTCCTCTCTCTCTAAAATCAATAAAAGTGTGTGTGTGTGTGTGTGTGTATTTTTTAAGAGAAATATAAGGAAAGGTGATCCACAGTCACAGGTGTGGAGGTGGCGAAGGCCAGGCTATGGGGTCATGTGGTTAGTGACTGCCTGGCTGCAGGACTACAGCCATAGAGGATCCTGTCCAGGAAGCCACCTGGCTTCACCAGCCACCCCTGGAACCAGGAAATCTAAGGCAGAGGGAATACTTAACTAGCAGGATCCCTGAAGAGTGGAAGGCTAGAACATTGCCCCAGGAAAATCTTGCAAATGATGCTAATACAGAAAACTAAATTAAAATGTACAGTATTGGAGAAAGAAATCAAAGGACTCAAAAACCTATTGCTGGAGGAACCGATGATATTAAGTATACTGCAAAAGAAAAATGTAGGGAAACTACAAAATACTACACATTTTCTTTATTCCCCAAAAAGACAACATATGTGACTTATAACATGAAATAAAATCACCACAGATTTCAGTGACACAATTCAGCAGGAAAGGCATGAGACCTTTTTGACAGTGCATATCCCATATCTCCTCTATCATTCAAAGTACTTGCATATACATACTGGATAAACAGAGCCGAGACCCATTAAAACTGAGACCTACCCTAGCTGGTTTTGCTCAGTGTTTAGAGTGTTGGCCTGCAGACTGAAGGGTTGAGGGTTCAATTCCAGTCAAGGACACGTACCTCAGTTGCAGGTTCAATCCCAAGCCCCGTCAAGGCGCATGATGGAAGCAACCAATTGATATGTCTCTCTCAGGCAGATGTTTCTCTCTCTCTCCCCCTCCCTTCCACTCTCTCTAAAAAAATCAATGAGCCCGGCCGGGTGTGGCTCAGCAGTTGAGCATCGACCTAGGATCCAGGAGATCAGGGTTCGATTCCTGGTCAGGACACACGCCCACAGCCGATCAATGACTCTCTCATTATTGATGTTTCTATCTCTCTCTCTCCCCTCCTTCCCTCTCTCTGAAAGCAATAAAGATATGTTTAAAAAAAAAAAAAAATCAATGAAAAAAATATCCTTGGGGAAGGATTAACAAAACAGGGCTGACCACCAGGAGCCCAAAACATATCTCTGTTTTTACTCCTGTTAAAAACCTTTCAAGATATTTTATTAACTTCCTTAAAGCTAGGAAGCTTATTGTGACTGTATGATCATCTGAAAGGTATTACTACTCAATTCAGGCATACTGGAGAAAGGAAATTTTCTAAAAAATGAAAAACAAACGAACAAATGAAATTTGGGTGAAAGAAGTCAACATGAAAATACATATGTGATTCCATTTATCTGACATTTTAGAAAAGACAAACTATAGGGATGGAGAACAGATCAAAAGTTTCCAGAAATAGGAGGTGAAGGGTGGGTGTAATTATAAAGTGAATTTTTTTTGAAGTGATGGGATATTTAGGTATCCTGACTGTGATGGTGGCTACATGAAAAGTGAGTTAAAACTGATAAACTACTATCCCAAGAAGTCAATATTACTGTATGATAATTAAAAGATAAATAAGTACTTTAAAAAAGAAATGTAAGATAATTTTCCAGAATGAAATATGTGAATCTCTGGTTTGGAAAGAAGGCCATAAAATAAAACAACTCATACGATAGCACATCATCATACCTTTCAGAGCAGTATGGAAAAAGGGAAGATCTTAAAATCTTCCAGAGAGAACAAAATAGGTCATAAATAATGGACTGGAATTAGGGATAGTGTCAAATTTTCAACCATTAATTCTTTTTTTTTTTTAAATATATCTTCCTTGATTTCAGAGAGAGGAAGGAAGAGGGAGAGAGAGAGAGACAGAAACATCAATGATGAGAGAGTCACTGATCGGCTGCCTCCTACACGCTCCCCACTGGGGAGCCCGCAACCCCGGCATGTGCCCTGACTGGGAATTGAACCCTGATCTCCTGGATCCTAGGCTGACGCTCAACCGCTGGGTCACACCCGGCCAGGCATCAACCATTAATTCTTAACACTGAAAGCTAAAAGTGAAAACAGACTTGGAAATCCTGAGAGAAAATAATTTTCAACCTAAAATCTATCACCAAATTATTAATCCAGGGTGAGCATAGAATAAAGATATTTCTTTTCAAGTGAAGTAGCAAAAAAATGTTTTCCTGTAACATGTTCTTAGGAAACTACTGGAGATGCCCTCCAGCAAAACAGGGAAAGTAAGAAAGTAAGAAAGAGGAATTATCTGTCAATTCTACCTCAATAAAGCTGAATTTTTTTTACAAAAGTAAGAAAAAGAAAGACATGGAGTCCAGGAATAAGAGTATTCAATACAGAACAAACAAAACTGGGCAGCAATAACAGACCAGCCCAGATCGGAAGGGAAGGAAAAAAGGCTCACTGAGGGAGATATGCAGGGAATAAAAGGATAGGCAATCTGATTGGTCTGACTAATACGGATGCTGGATGAAGGGGGAGGAATTAACCACAGGTACCTAAAAAACCAAGCAAACTAAAAGAAACAGAGAAATTATTAACTCTAGAAAAACAACAAAAACAAGATATACAAGGAAGAAAATTAAATCAGAGTACATTAATTTAATTGGCAGGGAACAATATATAGCTATAATAATGTAAACAATGAATAACAATTTAATCAAAAGTTGTAATAAAACTACACAGAGAAGATGCAAAGAGGGAAGTAAAGGTATGACAGTGATAATGTACAGAAGTTAAATCCTCATCTAGCATTAGAGAAAATGTGTCAAAGTTGATAAATCCAGCAGCGACTGTAAAAGCACATAATTAGAAATACATCAGCAAATACCAGTAGAAGGTGTCAAAGGAATTGAAGGTAGATGCTTTGGCCCTTGAAACTGGGAGGGGATAGTTGAGGCAGGAGAAATGCTAGTATACTTTAAACTTTTTATTATTATTTGACTTTCTGGATGACGTATTATTTGATTAAAATTTTAGTTTAAAATCAAAATGGCAACCAAAAAACACCCTGAATAGCCACAGCAACCTTTAGAAAGAAGAACAAAGTTGGAGGGATCACAATACCAGATATCAAGTTATACTACAAAGCCACTGTAATCAAAACTGCCTGGTACTGGCACAAGAACAGACACATAGATCAGTGGGACAGAACAGAGAACCCAGAAATTGACCCATGCCATTATGGTCAATTAAATCTTTGACAAAGAAGGCAAGACAGTCTCTTCAATAAATGGTGTTGGGAAAATTGGACAGATACATGCAAAAAAACGAAACTAGACCACCAACTTCCACCATACACAAAAGTAAATTCAAAATGGATAAAAGACTTAAATGTAAGACAGGAAACCATAAAAATCCTAACGGAAAACATAGGCAGCAAAATCTCAGACATCTCTCATAGCAATATATTTGCTGATACATCTAGGGCAAGAGAAACAATGGAGAAAATAAACAAATGGGACTGCATCAAAATAAAAAGCTTCTGCACAGCAAAAGAAACCATCAACAAAACGAAAAGGGAGCTCACTGTATGGGAGAACATATTTGCCAACGAACAACACATCTGATAAAGGGTTAATATCCAAAATATATAAGGAACTCATACAACTTAACAAAAGGAAGGCAAACAATCCAATTAAGAAATGAGCAAAAGATCTAAATAGATACTTTTCCAAAGAGGACATACAGATGGCTAAGAGACATGAAAAAATGCTCAGAGTGTCCTTGGCAGTCACGATCTCTCTTGCTTCAACAGCGTTTGGACGGAACAGACCCAGGGACGCCTTTCTTCCAGCCTCCGACCACCTTCCAACATCTCCAGTTACCACTTTTGGAACCACCTCAGCCATCCTCAGCCTCCAAGATCAGCCAACACCGTTTTTCAACCTTAACTTCTTATTGCTGAGCAACCATGAGTTCCCAAATTTGTCAGAATTACGCCACTGAGGTGGAGGCTGCTGTCAACCGCCTGGCCAACGTGCGTGTGCCGGCCTCTGGGCTTCTATTTTGACCATGACAATGTGGCTCTGGAGGGATTGGGCCACTTCCTCCTCCAGTTGGTGGAGAAGCGGAGGGCACTGAGCATCTCTTAAAGATGCAAAACCAACTCGGTGGCCACATCATCTCCCAGGGCATGACGAAGCCTTCCCAGGATGAGTGGGGCAAAACCCAGGATGCCATGGAAGCCGCGATGGCCTTGGAGAAGAGCCTGAATCAGGCCCTTTTGGATCTGTATGCCCTGGGTTCTACCCGCGCAGACCCTCATCTCTGTGACCTCCCGGAGAAACGCTTCCTGGATGAGGCGGTGAAACTCATCAAGAAGATGGGCGACACCTGACTAACCTCCGCAGGCTGGCAGCCCCCAGGCTGGGCTGGGCAAGGATCTCTTTGAAAGGCTCACCCTTAAGCATGACTAGGAGCATTGGAGCCCAGAGACCTGTGAGGGGCCTCTGCATTCCCCTGGTGTCTGGCTTTTATCTGAGCCTTTCCCCAAAGCCCCTAGCCATTCTTTAAACCACCCTGGAGCCCTCTCCCAAGCACTGGACCAAATGAAAACAAAGCTTTTTGCAGCAAAAAAAAAAAAAAAAAAAAAAAAAAAAACC